GGGCCAGGAACAATTTCCACCTTCACCTTTTGTGCTGGGGCAGCCACATTCCTCAATATTGGTATCCCTACTAAGCACGCATAGCCTGCCCTATCTTACGGCCCCTGTGCTCCTGCATTCAGAGGTAATAACTGCTATCCCAAGGGCACTAAATGTGCCAGCTGATCTCAACAAACCACCAAGCTTCAGGGCTTGGGACACCGCTAGCATATGGGCACATTCACCTGATCCATGCCTTTCCACTGCCAGCACAGCAGGCCTTTCACGTGGGCCCAACCTCTTGGCAGGCACAGAGCCTCGTGCAGGTAGGCAGACAGCCCTCCAGACCCCATCGGTCAGTTTTAGCAGCAAAGTGTTGTGTTCTTTTCATTCAGCTTGTGCTTAGGAGAAGCCAGATTGCACTGCCCTTCCCTCCACGATTGGACCTTCAGACAGCCCCAGCAGATGTGCACGCACAGAGACAGACACACAGACATGCCCTCTTAAGAACATTCACAAGAGCAGCAAGCTACACATGGAAGTGGTGCCACCTGGGTGCAGTGGGACAGAGCAGCAAAGCAAAAGAGAAGATGTCATCTTTAAAGTCCAGAGGAGCCCCAGAGAGAGGAAACAAGGTCAGAGACCAGGCAGAACTGCAGAAGGCCACGTGATCACTTGGTAGAACTCTTACTCTTTCTGCTGCCCGACGTTGGCCCTGAGCCCATCCTGCTAGGAGCCCAGCAAGCACAAGGAGGGCCCTTCCTGGAGGGAGGGTGGCTGCGATGCCAACCTCTCAGGGCCCTCCCTCCCCCCCCCCAAACCACTGGAGGATTCCAGGTGTGCCTTGGCCATTCACCTCTGACCACCTCAGTGGCCTCATTTGTCCTAGGTTGGGATGTTTCCCCCACCGAGTCTCTCTAGGGCTGGGCTGAGTAGATGCTGCTGAACAGGAAGCTGCAGGCGGGGAAAGGGGGAGAATGGGATGCCCTCGGCCCTTCCTGGAGTGGGCACCCAGGGCGCTCTCTGAACTGAGGGGCATGGTGGCTGGGAACCCAGCAGGTGAGCAATGGCTTGGGGCCTGTGGGCACGGTGACACTGGCCCCAGAAGGTCACTGCTGGCATCCTCCATCTGGCTGGTTCCTAGGTCTGGAGGCTGCGGTTGAGGGTGTGTGTGTCACCTGTGGGAAATGAGAGCTGGACGCGGCAGCCTCACCCCTGTGCTGGGCATGGCCCTGCTCCCGGTCTGTGAAGTTGGCCGTCCCAAATTCTTTCCTCTTTCTTGCTTCCTAGCCTCCTTCTCTCACCCCAGCTACATCTGAGAGGCACTCGTGACCTGCGCCTTCAAACAAGCTGCATTTGCGCATCCATTCTTTTATTCTTTCAGCATACGTGTTGGGGATCTGTGAGGGCTTGGCGCTGGGTACCCAGACGGAGGAGGCGCAGTCCCACACTGTGAGACAAGGAAGTGCTCTTATGAGAGGGGGTCACGTAAGGGGCAGGCGCAGGACATGCCAGGAGCTCGAGATACCTGCGCTGCCTCCCCTTCGGGGCCAGGCTGTGACGTGTGGTCCAGCGCCCAGGCCTTTGCTGCTCACCTCAGCTCCAGAAGAGCTCAGGGAGTGCACATCGTGGAGGCGGCGTGTTTCCTAAACGGAGAGTGAGGCCAGAGCCCTGCAGGAAGCTGAGAGTAAAACTGACGCTGGGCGGGTTGTCTCTGCCTGCTGGCCCAGAGCCGTGCTCGCGTGCGCACTGACGCGGGCGCTGGGACAGAATAAGCATCCTCCACGGTTCCCACCCCTAGGGCTCAGTGAGGAATATAAAGCCCATGCATGTGAAGTGAAAGTCACATAAAATGGTAGATTACAGAATTTAAAAGCATGGGATTCAGACGGCGGGTGGTGTGGCTGGTCTCTGGGTGGACCTTGAGGGCTTTGGATGAGCTCGGTCTCCCTGCCGGCTCCGGACCTGCATCTGGGGACCCCAGAGCACGAATGTATTATCATTTAAAAATGAAAAGTCATTTATCAGATGAAAACGTTTGACAGCCGTTGGCCCCAAAGCAAGACAACATCACTCAATATATTATAAATCTGTTTTATTTAGCAATTACAGAGAGCAAAGAGCAGAGAAACATCTCAGGGATACAGACTCTGTACGTCACAGTCTGGTCACTTGCACCTTCATGGCAGCTGCGAGGGAGGGTCACACTGCTTGTAAGGTGGAGAGGTGGGGGCCAGTAGAAACGAAATGGAAGTTGCCCTATTCTAGAACAAGCCCCAGGCAGCATTTTCTGGGATGGAAAGGGCCAGAGATAGTTTTGTTCTAATGCTCAGCCTCAGAGATAGAACTTGGGCTGCAGGAGATGAATAACGTAGTAACTAAGTGACGCTCCAGTGCTGATGGATCATGATGTTAGTCCAGAGTTGACCTTATGATGGAGCAAAGGGAGCTCAGGAGGGCAGGTGTAGACAGAGAGGGCAAGGGAGGGCACTCAGCATGCAGCCTCGGCTCCCACTCAGAGAGCAGGAGAGACCGGAGGCCAGGAGAGGACAAGCCACCTGAGGAGAGGGCTCTGCAGCCAGACAGGGGCCTGAGGCTGGTGGCACCAAGAGCTGGCGGCAGGACTTCAGTGCTTGTAGCTCTTCTTGCTGGAGGAGGTGGTGGTGGTGGTGTACTTGATGGAGGAACTGCTGCCTCCCACGGAGCTGAGGCCACCCCCCAGGCCTCTGCCACTGCTGGAACTGAAGCCACCTCCAAGGCTGTGACCACCGCTGTAGGAGTAGCCGCTGCCTCCGCCCAGGGCTAGGCCACTGCCGACACCGCCAGCACCGCCGTAGCCGCCAGAGACGGTGGACTGCACCACGGCTGTGGTGGGGAGGGGACAAGGACACGAGAAGACACCGTGAGCTCCTTCTGCCGGCCGCAGCCCACCCAGAAGAGTGCCAGGGCCGGGGACGAAGGCAAGCAAGGGTACTTAACAGATGTTGACTTGTCCGACGCCTTCGCCATTCAGCCTAGAGGGAGGAACACAGGCAGGATGAGACTCGGGGAGCCATTCCCTGGGCCCGCATGGGAAGCTCCGTGTGAGCAGCAGTCCATGGGAAACTGCTCTTGCAGTTGTTTTGCAAGACTAGCAGTTATGGCCATGGCTGCTGTGCCCTACGCCGTGCCGGGTGCCAGACATCCAGGTGTGCTCAGGTGCTTGAGCAGGTGCTCAGGGACCCACCTGCACTCCTCGCCCTCCAGCAGCTTGCGGTAGGTGGCGATCTCCATGTCCAGGGCCAGCTTCACGTTCATGAGCTCCTGGTAGTCCTTCAGCAGGCGGGCCATGTCCTGCTTGGCCCTCTGCAGGGCGTCCTCCAGCCCTTCCAGCTTGCTCCTGGCGTCCTTCAGGGCCATCTCCCCACGCTGCTCCGCGTCCGCAATGGCGGCCTGCAGGTTGGCGCACTGGAAGGGAAAGCAAGAGTGAACTTGGATCCGGTGCCTTAGAGCACACTCGCCTGGAACTTCAGCCAGGAAGGTGCCTGGAACCCAACATGGAGGGTGAGTGAACTCTAACCTTCCATCCTACTACTTTTCTATCGTGCAGTTTTTGTCTAGTCTGGCTCGTTTTGCAAAAACAGATACCCCTTTTCATTACCCACCTGGGGGAATGAAACTCTTCCACTCCAGTTCCCTGCCTGTCCTGGCCAGGATGATCTCCATCATCCTTAGAGGGACACCAAGGTCCTTGGCAGGTGGTGGGTTCCAGGGAGGCTGAGCAGGGTGGCGATCAGGGCTATGGAGGTGGGTGGGAGAGGAGAGAAGGTGCTCATGCACCTCCCAAGGACAAGGAGTGGAGGGTGCATCCGGGTGCCTGGGCCCTCAGTCGGGGCAGGCCCAGGGGAAGGTGGCCCAGATGGAACACCACGGACAGAGGGCTTTGCCTCTCTGGAACAGTTTGGCTGGAATCACAGAGCCAGGGACCTGGGCACCATGCTGAAGACCCAGGCTGCAGCCCCCACCCCCGGTTGCTCAATATGCTAGATCCCTGCTGACCTCTCCTACTTTCTGGGGGAGGCCTGGCTTTAGGGAATAACTATTAGCACCTATTGTGAGCCAGGTGCTCGCTGATCCAGGTCCAGGAGATACAGCTGTGAACGCACTGACAAAATACCTCCCTTGCCTTGGAGGAAGAAGGGAAGCCAAGGTGGTTTGGAGGTACAGTCACAACCTGGGTCTCCCAGCTGACACACTCCTAGGGTGTCATAATTCTGTTGCGGTGGTGCCTGAGACATGGGCCAGGAACAACTTTCCACCTTCACCTTTTGTGCTGGGGCAGCCACATTCCTCAATATTGGTATCCCTACTAAGCACCGCATAGCCTGCCCTATCTTACGGCCCCCTGTGCTCCTGCATTCAGAGGTAATAACTGCTATCCCAAGGGCACTAAATGTGCCAGCTGATCTCAACAAACCACCAAGCTTCAGGGCTTGGGACATCCGCTAGCATATGGGCACATTCACCTGATCCATGCCTTTCCACTGCCAGCACAGCAGGCCTTTCACGTGGGCCCAACCTCTCTGGGCAGGCACAGAGCCTCGTGCAGGTAGGCAGACAGCCCTCCAGACCCCATCGGTCAGTTTTAGCAGCAAAGTGTTGTGCTCTTTTCATTCGAGCTTGTGCTTAGGAGAAGCCAGATTGCACTGCCCCTTCCCTCCACGATTGGGACCTTCAGACAGCCCCAGCAGATGTGCACGCACAGAGACAGACACACAGACATGCCCCTCTTAAGAACATTCACAGAGCAGCAAGCTACACATGGACGTGGTGCCACCTGGGTGCAGTGGGACAGAGCAGCAAAGCAAAAGAGCAGATGTCATCTTTTAAAGTCCAGAGGAGCCCCAGAGAGAGGAAACAAGGGTCAGAGACCAGGCAGGACTGCAGAAGGCCACGTGATCACTTGGTAGCCAACTCTTACTCTTTCTGCTGCCCGACGTTGGCCCTGAGCCCATCCTGCTAGGAGCCCAGCAAGCACAAGGAGGGCCCTTCCTGGAGGGAGGGTGGCTGCGATGCCAACCTCTCAGGGCCCTCCCTGTGCCCCCCGCCCCCGAGAAAACCACTGGAGGATTCCAGGTGTGCCTTGGCCATTCACCTCTGACCACCTCAGTGGCCTCATTTGTCCCTAGGGTTGGGATGTTTCCCCCACCGAGTCTCTCTAGGGCTGGGCTGAGTAGATGCTGCTGAACAGGGAAGCTGCAGGCGGGGAAAGGGGGGAGAATGGGATGCCCCTCGGCCCTTCCTCGGAGTGGGCACCCAGGGGCGCTCTCTGAACTGAGGGGCATGGTGGCTGGGAACCCAGCAGGTGAGCAATGGCTTGGGGCCTGTGGGCACGGTGACACTGGCCCCCAGAAGGTCACTGCTGGCACCTCCTCATTGGCTGGTTCCTAGGTCTGGAGGCTGCGGTTGAGGGTGTGTGTGTCACCTGTTGGGAAATGAGAGCTGGACGCGGCAGCCTCACCCCTGTGCTGGGCATGGCCCTGCCTCCCGGTCTCGTGAAGTTGGCCGTCCCCAAATTCTTTCCTCTTTCTTGCTTCCTAGCCTCCTTCTCTCACCCCAGCTACATCTGAGAGGCACTCGTGACCTGCGCCTTCAAACAAGCTGCATTTGCGCATCCATTCTTTTATTCTTTCAGCATACGTGTTGGGGATCTGTGAAGGCTTGGCGCTGGGGTACCCAGAGCGGAGGAGGCGTAGTCCCAGCACTGTGAGACAAGGAAGTGCTCTTATGAGAGGGAGTCACGTAAGGGGCAGGCGCAGGACATGCCAGGAGCTCGAGATACCTGGGCGGCTGCCTCCCCTTCGGGGCCAGGCTGTGACCGTGTGGTCCAGCGCCCAGGCCTTTGCTGCTCACCTCAGCTCCAGAAGAGCTCAGGGAGTGCACATCGTGGAGGCCGCGTGTTTCCTGAACCAGGAGAGTGAGGCCCAGAGCCCTGCAGGAAGCTGAGAGTAAAACTGACGCTGGGCGGGTTGTCTCCTGCCTGCTGGCCCAGAGCCGTGCTCCGTGCCGCACTGACCGCGGGCGCTGGGACAGAAATAAGCATCCTCCACGGTTCCCACCCCTAGGGGCTCAGTGAGGAAGATAAAGCCCATGCATGTGAAGTGAAAGTCACATAAAATGGTAGATTACAGAATTTAAAAGCATGGGATTCAGACGGCGGGTGGTGTGGCTGGTCTCTGGGTGGACCTTGAGGGCTTTGGATGAGCTTCGGTCTCCCTGCCGGCTCCGGACCTGCATCTGGGGCACCCAGAGCATGGAGGAGCAGCGCCTGAGTGTAGCAGGGGCTGAGCTTGCTCCACACATTTCCCAGGGGAAGTCACAGGGTGAGTCCACCCACAGACACGCAAGATGGGAATGTGCTCCCACCTTTTCGGCTCAGAGCTGGTTCCTACCTGAGACATCGGGGCGTTACATCGCTCGCCTGGGTGTTTCTAAGAACAAGAGCATCTGCATGTGGGGCTGTGTTTTCCGCGATCCCCAGGAGGGCCGGTCCCCTAGGAGTGTCTGCCTCCTTCTGGGATGCGTGAGGTGCTGACCCGAAGTCTCAGAATCAGCACACACTGGTGATCAGGGTGGTGACAATGACAATGACAATGATGCCAAGAAACTGAGAGCCATTAAGCTAGGAGTGATTGATTGAAGGTGACTGAAGAATAGGAACCTCTCCCTGCTCCACTTTTAGAGGGGTAAATATTCACAAGCCTAGACAGACGAACGGAAAATTAGGGCCCATGACTCATTATTGCAAAAACAATTAGTCTCTTTGAAGCAGGACTTAGCAGAGGGCTCTTCCAATTAGCCAAATTGCAGCTGATTGACGTGCAGGGTGCAGGACAGCTTCCAGGGTGTGAAATCAGGTATGTTGCTGGAATCGGGTGGGTGAGACACTTTCCACTGAGCAGACCAGGACCGTGTCCACGATGCAGGTTACATCTGGGCAGCCCGGACACCTCTCTGTCCTCCCTTCCCAGAAAGGGCAAAATGGCACCTGACCCGGCAGGTGGACGCCAGGCTGCCTTCTGCGCGATTCCCACCCTGGGGATGCATTCTCATCAGGCCAACAAGGCAGACACATTCCTTTCAAAGGAAATGCCTGAAAGTGCTTTTCCTTCACCCTTGAGCACTGGCTTATTAAGCAACAGTTGGCCAACTTGGAGTGAGCCCAGAGACTAATGAAAATGACAAATGAATTAAGAAATAGGTGGGAGGACAGGGGAAAGGAACGATGACAGTGTTTCTTTGTTGCTGTTGTTACTAACTGGGATAAACTTAAACTTCAGCAAGAAGGATTCAATTAAGGATGTCTATGATCTCATGCTACAGAGAGAAAATTTCTGCAGATTCTTTCTAGACTGATGTAGGTAGGGTGATTCTGCATTAAGTGGAGGTTTTTTGTTTTTTGGTTTTTTTTTTGAGCATTTAGTGTCGCTATAAGATAAGCACCTATGTGATGATGCTGTTTAGGCATCATGGTTTTTTTTATGGATTTAGAATGGAAATAGGGCTTTCCTACATCTTTCAACATTTCCACTTAAAGAAACTGATACCCACTTAGCCTCTCTGAAGTTGGACCTGCCTTTGCTCATGTACTTTCATACTTTCCATCCATTGCCCCTGCCTCTTGGTTTGTGTGGGGTGTGTGCGCCCAGGAGTGTGTGTTTATGGGTATGGTGCTGGCTCTGCCAGGTGAGAGAGATTTTCCATGGGTGGGCATGTAATTCACTTGAATTCAGCATGCATTTAGTAATGTACCTACCTTCCTTTAAATTGTCCAGAAGTATCCAGAACCCTGCTATGCCACAGGTATTCTTCAACTGGACTGCTGAGTGACATTGCTGGGCTGCTGGGTGACGTAGGGCACATATGAGCAAATGATGAGATTTTGAAGACATTGTCTGAGGCAAAGCTAACACAGGCTAAAGGCAGTCATGTTTCACTCATCATTTCTTCATCACCGAAGAGTGAACAAGACGTCCGGGTAGGGAAAACACAGCTTTGGAGACTCTCAAGTTCCCTCAAGAGGAGGCAAGACAGAAAGAAAGCTCAGGGAGAGGCTGGAGCCAGGGAGGGCAGGGCAGTCAGCCGTGCCAGCGTGGGCAGAAGCAGGCTTTCTGCCTTCTCCCGGTGTGGGCGGGAATTTCTAGGCAAAAGGGCCGGCATTGCTTGGTGTTTGCCCTCGGTGTGTGGGGACGTCACTGGCTAATGTCAGCGCCCCACAGATGCCCCATTTAGGTGAGCAGCTGGCTCCTGTGCCTGCTCTTACCTCCAGGGCTGCAGCTCTTCCACCAGGGGGCACGCAAAGCAAGGAAGGGCTAGAGTGGGGGGACAGGCAGGTCAGTCCCTCCTGCTAGCCAGAGCAGCCCCGCCATGGCCCCCCACTGCCCCAGGGAGGTGATGACACCCGTCCT